ATGGTCGTCCTCTCATGATTGAGGTGGAACTATTTCGATCTTGCAGTTATTGGATGACGGAGGGCGTTGCCTCTTGGGTGTTGTTGGACTCTATTTACGGGAGGAGTTTGGTCGTGTTTTCATGATGTCGCATGTACCATGTGTCTGATTTGTTGATTGAATGCTGGACGATCGCCACGTGTATGTGCTTCTAGGCAACCAAGTGACTGAGTAGTCTGGTGAATAAGACCATGTATCGAGTAAGGATACGCCGGGAGTTCGAACCTCATCAGGCGTCGCCTTTGTTCAAGGAATAAAGAAAGGAAAGCGCCTTCCCGAGAAGGGGAAAGCGACGCGCGTCGTTTGGCACACTAGAGAGGGCGTATGAAGTCGTCCCCAACTACTAGGCATGTGTTGAGCAAGGGAGGGCATACGGCGTGTAGAGTATCAGTATTGTTCAAAGAGCGGACAATGGATATCAGGTGCATTGTAGGTGGCTATTTTGACCAAGTTTGTCGTACGACCTCACCAGAAGGGTAGGGGCGTGCTTGATGATTTGTTTTTGTGCTGCGCAGGGAGGATCTTGTCGAGTCAGCCGAGCGTGGCGTAGAGAGCGAGCCGGGGGCGGTGGTAGATATTGTCTTGCCTTGATGTTGCAGTACGGCCGTTGGAATCTTTCGTGATATGAACGGCGTGAAGGCGTTGAGATTTGTAAGGGGTTTTGATCCGATGGCGGGTTTCCCCTTGTTTCTGATTTGCGTTGTTTTAGGTGCTTTTCGGATGTACTCTTCGACGCACGAGTGGTGGTTATTCACTGGCGTAAAGAACCAAGGGAGGGTGTTCGTGCGTGGAGGTAGATGAGTCGGATTGTACCAAATCACTGGCGGTTTCGTGTACCGCAGATGGGATTGCCTTGAGGGGCGGCTAGGAGAGACCTTGAGATACGAGTTGCGGGCCGCCTTCACGACTGGCTTTGGGCCTGGCACTCTTCCTCCCTCCTTCTTCCTCATGCCCCCCTAAGATAATACATGCCGTTAACAACACTCTTTGGACTCTGGAGGTCACACAACAAGGGCATACCAACAGCCGGGGCTAGGTTACAGGGGGTCAAGAGGTTGAAACGATAAACGAAACAACCTGCGAGTGCTCTGGGGCTTCACCCACGCTGCCTTCCTCCTCACCCTGAGTTGGGCTGCACGGTTCACCGCAGAGTCGGCGGCGGTGGAGGCCGTAACCCGCGCGCCGACATTTGCCCCTTCGAGTATGTCGTGGGCTTGGGCTTTCTTCACGCCCGTGGCTCTCCTTCGCCGCTCCCTCCTGCTGCCTCCGCCCGGCTTGGGTCTGGCCCAGAAGATCCTCGCTCCCTCCGACTACGGCATCAGCGTCACCGGCGACCCCCAGCCAGATCCGGTCCCACCACCAGCCCGACCGAAACCGTATCCCAACCAGGCAGGGAAATCGTGCATCAAGTAGTCTCGTACGACCAAAGAAACTACATCGACATCTGACACGTCAAAGCTCCTGCTGCTGATTACACCGTCTGCTTTTTTCCTGCTGCAAGACAAGGATTGACAACAGTTGGTCGCCACGCGGGGAAAATCAGTTTAAGTTTGTTTACACAGGCAGTGGGATTAGATGGTGTGTACGGAAAAGTTGCATTGCTACCAAACGAGTGCCTCGCGCCCAACACGTGCTCATTATTCTACGCGCGAACAAGAGTGAGATACGCTCCGTCGGAGAAGCTCTCGAGTATCACAACCACATTTTCAAGCCGCAGCTAACGTGAAGAGTGATCGATATTGCAGGCGAAAATACACCTCTCAAAAAACAGAAGCAGACAATTCTACCAAAACATGAAATAATGGTAAGACGAGACGCGTGAAGTGGTTTGGCCAAAATCCCGAAGAAATACAGCATCCACGAAACACTCGCACTCATGGGAGCAAATAAGCTGGCGCGGCCCTAGCTGCGAAAGATTAGGCCAAGAAGAAGGCGGTTGTCGACGTTGTTCCCAAGGAAAAGGCTCGGAAGAACTCCAAAAACAAGGCGACCGCCGTCACCAAGCGAGCGGTCATTGCATCTGCCGCGGCTAAAACTAGGACTTTTGTTGTGGGGAAGAGTCCGGCCAGGGATACAAAACGCAAGGCGACGTTACCTTCTAAACTTGCGGCAAATAAGTCAAAGGCCACTTCGGCCGCGAAGCACAAGGCAGACACCTTGCAGGATAGTGCCCCAAAACAACAACAATTAGATTTGCAGAAAACGCTCTTGTCTCAGCAAAAAAAACAACGCTAAGGTAACCAAAAATAACCTAATCTGAATGTCAGGACGGCAATGGTGTATTGCCATTATATACAGGAAACAATCGACAGCGCCCAGAGCTCTTAATTCAATTTCCAACATGCCGTCAACTCTAAGCAAACTGTACGATGCCGCAGCGAGTGGTTCCGTCGAGCGTACGGTTGCCTTGCTTTCTGGAGGGTCGGTCGACATCGACGGAGGCTACGGTGATGCGGGCCGGACCCCGCTTATGGTGGGTGGCCTCCACCATGGGATACTTGCGGGTCGTGCGGGTCCTTTTGAGACTGGGAGCCAGAGTGTCGGCGGCGGACAATGACGGTGCGACTGCTCTACACCTGTCGATTGTCAACAAACACCTGGCCGTCAGCAAGGCTCTGGTCAAGGCCGGTGCGGACCTTGAAGCTAGGATCGACCACCACCAAGCGCTTGGTGTAGGCTGTACGCCGCTTCACGTTGCCGCGGCGAAAGGATTCCACAAAGGAATGGTGATGCTGATCCACGCGGGTGCGAATGTCGACCGTGAGCAAGAAAGCGCTCGACGGAGCGACACCCCTGTACATTTCGACACAAGGGAGACTTGAAGGTGTCAAGGGTTTCGTTGGGGCGAAGGCGAATCCGATCTTGGCTGCATACGACGGCGAAAGCCTCCCGCTGGACGTGGCGGCTGAAAACGGGCAGCTGGGAGTTGTCCGCGAACTAGAACAGCGATTCGGAATCGACGGTTGTTCTTGTGACGGTGGCGCGCAAGCTCTCGTGGAGGCCGCTTCTCAGAATCAAGTAGATATCGTCACTTTTCTGTTTGACAACGGTGTGGTGGACGCGGAGGGCATTGCACTGTGTGCTGCCGTGGAGGGTCGGCGTGAGGAGTGTATCGAGCTCCTTCTACGGACACAGGGATGCAATGCGAACGCCATTGCGCGTGCATACGCCAACATGACCCACGACACTACCTTGCCCATGTACTCAAACCAACTTTTCCCAGACACCCCTCTTGTGAGCGCATTTGAGCTGGGGGGGTTCTATTCTCCAAGAATCACGCGCTTGCTCCTTGGCGCCGGCGCGGACGTGGCATCGCGCGTTCGTTATGAAGGAATCGAAGGAGATTGTGTAATGCACGATACGCCCTTGACGATCGCCGAATCGACGCTACCTTTGTGGGAGACCTATGGAGAAACTTCGGAAGACGTGGAGTTCGGGCTGAAGGGTGTCATACGCTTGCTGAAGCAGGTGGATGCAGTTCACGCGACCTCCTGGTGTTGGCCGAGCGCGCTCGAGAAATCAACGCCGATCGTTCGCATGCTGCCGGGTCTGAAGCGCAGGGCGACGAAGCCTCGTGTGGCCTTGGCGCCCCTGTCTAGGTGCGTGATGTTTAAATTCGTTGGTGCGTTTGCGATTGTAGGCAAGATTTTTAAATACTGAGCTAAAGATATTCTCCGCCCGCCTCTTATCGACAGGTACAACAACAAGCAAGACGGGCCGTTCCTGGGGTACACTCCGAGTAAGAATGGGGGATAGGACAGCGACCGTAGCTGCTATGCGTGGGCAGGGGTACAAACGAAGGAGGCTGCCGCGGGCGAAGCTACTGCTGCTCGGTCGTATTGGTGAAGAGTTTCGCCATTGGCCAAGCTTGCTTTTGTGTGCTGTGTGTTAAGGACATAGAGTGGGACATGGTAGCCCGGAAACACGCTAGCTGTCGCTACTGCTGCAGCCGACGCGTCACACGTAGATCCGGGGCACGGCGTTGCTATCCCTCAGTGTCAAGCGTCGGTGCGTGGGGATGGAATTCCCATTGCGCAGATTTGAGCATTCATTAGTGTTGGGCTAGGTAGCCAGGCAGGGCAGGTGGGAAATAGGATGAAGGCTCGTTACACCAGTGGATCAAGACTGCACGACAACGATTTGAGGTAGGCACCCCACGTCGTTCGGTCATTTTTCTTTTTTACATCTCTGGCCGCCTCGTTTCCTGTCTGTTACACAGCAGTAGCCGGCGTTGTTTTGTTGTGCTACAACCTGTTGCAGCAGGTAGGATGATAAGTTGAGAGC